CCTAACCTCACCAAACCTGTCCCTAACCTCACCTAACCTCACCAAACCTGTCCCTAACCTCACCTAACCTCACCAAACCTGTCCCTAACCTCACCTAACCTCACCAAACCTGTCCCTAACCTCACCTAACCTCACCAAACCTGTCCCTAACCTCACCTAACCTCACCAAACCTGTCCCTAACCTCACCAAACCTCACCAAACCTGTCCCTAACCTCACCAAACCTCACCAAACCTGTCCCTAACCTCACCAAACCTCACCAAACCTGTCCCTAACCTCACCAAACCGGTCCCTAACCTCACCTAACCTAACCCGTATCACACCCCAATAGCAGCACAATCTTTTCATCATTTTATAATATGTTACAATCACTTGTAGATTCTCAATAAGTGCTTGATCACATGGAACTGAAAGTTTAATGACATCTGTAAGTATTCTAACTTACATGAAATAATGATTTGTTTGAACATTATCCATTGTTTAATAAGTTTATTAGCAAACATTAACAAGCACATTATCTCACGTTTCTAACTCTTTGAATATATATTAACTAATGATCCATTAAGCATCATATAATGCTCGTTAATGATTTATTAATGAAAGTTATTATAAAGTGTTACCCAGATTGGCAGTGGGTGGAGTTTGTGAACGCCTGGATGATTTTAACCACAGAGTGTGTGTAACGTATCATCGGTGTTGTTTAGGTGCTTTGAGTTTAGATTCTTTGCCTGTTTCTCGGCACATTTCCCTTAGTTTCCATAGGTACGGATTAGAAGAGTGTCCATCTGATGCAAAATCTCAGCAGTAGTAGTAAATTAACTTGCGGCACGCATTAACGCACAACAGATATGAAAAGAACAAGGATTAAGATCAGTTTAAATCGAGTGTTCGTTTCTAAGAAACTTTAAAGAATAAACGGAACAGCTTTCAAAGTGGTTTAATTAGATTATACTCTGACTGACAGACACAGCTGAGGTTGAAACCCAGTATTTACACTCCTTCACGTCAATGTTCATTCAATGAACCTCAAATCTCTCATGGATATGAGATTTACAAACACCAACACAACCATTAGGCAATTTGTGGAAAAATGATATAATGATATAATTTATATTAAAA